TATAATAAATATATATATATATATATATAATTATATATATATTTATGAATTATATTATATATATATATATATATATATATATATAAGATATATATTATATATAATGTTATTTATATTATACATATATATTTTATATAATATATCTTTATTATATATATCAATATATGTTATATATATAATATATATATATATATATATATATATATATATGTATATATATATATATGTATATATATATATATGTATATAAAGATATGTTATATATATATTATGTATATATATATATATATGTATATAAAGATATGTTATATATATATTATGTATATGTACTGTGTATATATTGTATTATATATATATTTTATATATATGTATACTGTATATCTATTATATCTTTATGTTATATATGTATATATATTACATATATATGATATATATGTATATATATTACATATTTATGTTATATATGTATATATATTATAGATATATGTATATATGTGAATTGGTGTACTATGCCTTCTCATTTGTGATTTTTGCAATAATTTATACTTGTGTCTAATATGTAATTATTGCGATAGTATTAGGTGTTGAGTATGTTAGAAAGGCCCCGTGAAAGGTTTTGAACACCAGTGAGCTTCGAGCTCGTTGTGGTAAAACTGGCTGAATTAAGAGTTACCTTGGGGTAATATGAATGTAGTGTGACGAGGCAGTGGTAGGTGGGTGGTAGCGAGCGGTAATACCGAGCCGCTCATTTTGTAAAACCTGTAGTTCTCAATGCTTGTTGCAATTAAGATGAAATGAAAGCCTGGCCATAAAGATGTAAAAGTGAAATAAAATTAAAGCTAAATCAATAAAGCACATAATTAAAATCATATTAAATATCACTGAAGATATAAAAGGTAAGAAGAGAATAAAATAAATAAATAAGAATAAAAATTGTAATGATAAAATAGCCAGCTAAAACTGATTTTGTGGACAGCTAATTATGGGGAATGAGACACTGAAAAATGTGTTAATTTGAGAAGCATTTAAAAACTGGCATACTGTATAAAATAATTGATATATAGTTAAAAGTGAGCAGGCAACTACTTCTCTATTAAGTATGAATCAATGACGGTTGTGCTATGTTACTAAGTTCCTTGGTTTGTGAGGAGAAGGAAACACCTCCGTGTCACAGGGCAGAGATTTATTTCTTGTTTTTTTTTCTTCCAGGGTGCGAGTATGGGACCTATTGCTGCTGTTGCCCACTGTCCTTTTTCTAATAGGTCTTCTCATCAAAATCAACAGTGCAAGACTCAAACTGCGTGCTGTCCACAGCCCCATATATGCTACCTTTTATGGTCTGGTAAGTGACTTTTGCTTATGGACTGTTTAGTCCTCTGCATATGTATTACTTGACATTTTAAGCTTACAGAGGCTTCACATGTGAAAGAAACCTGATTTTCTGAAAATAGAATCTATTGAACAGGTATTTCTCTTTATAAGAAATTTGTTTTAGCAAAGAAGACTCCAATTTTGATATACTGATGCAAACTCTTCTAAGTAGTTGTAGTCTAAGGCAAGTCCAAAAACATGTTGTATGATTTGATTTGCATTTCAATTTTCAGGTTCTTATAAAATGATTATTAGGGTTTGTGATTGTAATGCAGAATGTCCAATCTTTATTTTCATGATAGCCATGTATATGGAGAGAATTTTAGATCTGCAAAGATTAGCATGAAGAGAATTAGAGGAAATTTTTTTGGTTAAAATTATGACTTGATTAGATTTCATTTGAATGAATATCATTGCATGTGTTAGTTGATTATTCCAAGTTTCTCTACGGAATGGAAAGCCACATTAATAACACATCTAATTATTAAAAGAAATTATGATGACTTTATTAATGGATTAATGTTTTTATATGAAATAGGCTGGTTATATAAAAAAGATATTTATTTATTTAATTTTTTAGATCAGAAAGGGTGTATTTGATGTGTGGTTTTGTAACTCATTTTGCCCCTGTGGATTTTTAAACATTATACTCTTTAGGGCTGCCTGTTTTAGTCCCTTTGTCCATTTATTTTTTGCATAGAAAAAATGGGAATTATATTTAATTTTTCCTTCTATGGAAGAAGTAATTGGAAGCCTTTATTCCAGATTTGGCTAAACACTTTGGTGTCTGTTACGAGATGTGTTGTGTCCATGACTGTTAATGCAGCCACCCCATCGGGAGATGTAGCAAACAAGCTGTTGTATGTCATCGTTCGTTTCTTTTTATTAGCTACTGAGATGAGTGTTGTCGTCTTTGCCGTCTTTTTTGGTGAGTGGGCAAACCTTTTTTTTTTTTTTTTAGCTAATGAGAATGATAGAAGTATCTAACAGTTTTTAAGAGTAGAAATAAGGTCATACAATTTTGTATAGTAATTTGAAATAGACTTGAGATTT